TAAGATTTTCAAAGACACGTACTTGGCAATGGTCACTAAATAAGGTCAAAAGTGACAATAATACTTAACAGATTGTGACTTCTAAAATGAATTATAATTTTGTAAAACAACAATAAACCAAAATTAGTTCAAACAAAAGGCATATAACATATGTTTCTACGAAAGCGTTTAACAAAGACTGAATACTGACTTGTAATTCATCGGCTATAATGCGGTTTATACAAAATGTGATGTTGAAGAGAAAGCGTGTAGTTTGATCTTATCAGAGAGTGATTGAAAAGTAATTCTTTTACTGTATTTACTTATTAATTAAATACTGGAACATCAACCACATCATTTTTGTAATTTTTTTTTAAAACTATCGAATTGTACTTTTAAGTATTAAATTTTCGCGGTTTGGGTGTAAAAGCATCTAATACACACGTGTCTCATTATTTCATGGGTTTTGTTTTCGCGATCGTGGAAATGCACCGCTAATATATCACCGCAATCAGAGCCGAGAATAGTAGAGGTAACTCCTCCGCACCTTAATGTTTAGTTAGTAGGCCGATGGTGTACGTTGTAGCTACTCTCGATTCAAGCTTTCTATCTTCTGTCGATTTCTACTTTATCGATTATAAGGAGGCCTTCTTCCTGTTTAAAAGAAATGCTGTCAGTTTTACCGATTGTGTACGTAAATGTAGGTTTGAGACGACTTGCTAATTCTAATTAGCACCCTAATCCGTGGTCCTGCCATCATGGTGATAGTTTGATCAGCACATTTGCTTCTCACGCTGGCATTGACTAGGTGATGTTAACGACAGCAAAATGCGCGACAAACTTTTAAAGGTGACACATGTCATCAAAAGTATTGTCAGCTTGTCGCAAGAACCAACGCTATGTCATTGTGTGGAACAAATACATACCATGTCGAAAAGTATTCTTCATGATCACTCTCACGAGTTCTATGGACCTAGTTGTATTCAATACTAGTAAGTACGCCTGGGGTTTTCTTTGTCACAAACATGATGCAACGTAGATGCACTGACCCAGATATACGTGGTAAGTAAAGTCGATGAAGTACAGCGCCTCTTGCCGTTCGGGAGTATAAACAAGTGTTCCTGTAAATCTTATGTTCATATCTTGCCCTCTAAGTTTGAATGATATTTTAATTAATATGTCGATATTTTGATTATTAATGATTAGGTTTTCGAGGTTAAAATTGGTTAGTAGGAAGCACATAATGACCAGGTCTTGCCGACACCGAATCGCTTTAAGTCCATACGTTTCACGTGTAGATTTGCATGTTTATTTTGGTCTTCAAGATCCTTGCAAGAGTCATGTGAAAAAAAGTTCATGGATGATTGGGTCACTATTTCCTTTATAGATTTATCACATTGAATTACATAACCCGGACACAGTTGAACAATTACAGAAGACTCTTACCCTTCCGGAACATCTGGTCTGATTCTACTTGTACTTTTTTAACGGTCCCCATTAAATATTTCATTTGTTCATGTTTTGCCCTGGTTTCATCGAATGTACTCTTAACATGCCAATTTCATCTTCCGTGTAATGATTTGTCGGTGTGACTTAAATATGGTTTTGGATAAAAAAAACTTGATTTTCGCTATGATTATTCTGAAAAGATGATACTATATCAACTGGTTTACTCTCTTACACAATACAAATAATAAATATGGTTTGGATAAAAAGAAATTTTATTATTTGTATTGTGTAAGAGAGTAAATCAGTTGATATAGTGTCATCTTTTTAGAATAATCATAGCGAAAATAAAGTTACACCAATAATTTAGATGCAGAAGATATAAGCTTTAAGTATAATGGAGTACACTAAAATAATTAAAAAACATTTCTTGTTTTGTGATTTACAGTATACAAAAACATTTGTAAACGCTAAAACACTATAAAATTTACAACAGCAAATAGCAATTTGTGAACATCAAGCTTATCTGGATTTAAGATATAAAAAAACTATAAACATTGAATGTTTTGGCTTTCTGCAGAGCAACATCACTGTAGCGAAGGCCAAAATAAAACATTTCTGAAACACCGTATATACTTCACAATTAACGACAATGCGATTAATTCAGTGGACATTTGCAGTCACCATTTACATATAAATATTCAAATTAATTTCTCTTGAATTAAACATTCGAGACGAGCCACAATAAAAAGAAGTAGCTAACAAATTTTCTTTGTTATTGTCATCGCATGAAACATTCGTCTTTATCAGTAGCAACATTTTATGCATGAAATTTACAGAGAGACGACGTTGTCATTGGATACCAAATTGTAACAAGCCAAAGGACAAGAAGCGATTTGGTCAAACACGATTCTGAACGCTTGGTTAGCATAACTAAAGAAAATAACTGACTAGACGTTATTGGCGTAACACTAGTTAGGTCATAGGTCAAAAAGATATAAAGGGACGTTGCGTCACTCATGATATATGAGTCTTTGAAAGCCCGGCGAAGCTCCTCGTAAACCAGCGAGCGTAGTAACAAGGTAGCGAGATGGGATTACAATGCCGACCTCTACTGGCAGGTGAGACTTGTTGGAATTGCCCTCCTTCCAAATACGACACACGTGCATAATGATAAGGTCTGAAGATCCCTTTTGAGGCGTTGTCTGTTGTTACGATGGATGTAGACAACATCGGCGATGAATAAATAGTATGGTGCAATCGTGCATTTCTGTCCGTTCGTCCCTCGGTCATCAGATAACCCCACAAGAAATGAATTACACATTTAAGACTAATCATTGTAACAAATGTCCAACTTCGTTTAATTTTTTTCTGTCTTTTAATATAAAAACCAAGTTACAGAAACATTTTCACCGGAAAAGTTCAAAGCACTTATAAAAATAATGAAAAAGTCCTAGTGTTTATTTACGTACATCCGTCGTTAGTTTAAAGATTTGTTTAACATATTATTTTAAAGATTTTTTCCTAAATATATTTTCTTTGTAATCTCCCATTCAAAAACAATGAAACTAGAAGAGAATATTGTGAACACGTAACATTTCATTTCAAATGTCAAAGTAACTTAGAAACAACTTTAAGAAAAATAAGGGTAACTTGAAATGTAGATGGACGCTTCGATCTTTCTGTGATCTGAAGTTTATTTAAGATTTCATACGAGGATAGCAAAGATGGAGCCAATCAAATGTCATAGTGCCATCACACTGAAATGTCATACCTTGGATTTACGGTAGCATGACACGCTAACATTAAACTGACATTTGGCTAACAAGTCCTTACTATCATCCTTATGAAGCTGAATATTAAGCAGCACCGTTTGGTGACTATCAAGGTTAAGTATTGTAGTTGGTCCTCTTCTATATAAAAAATGTATCACCTATATCGCTTTGGTTGATGCTCAAAGCTTAAGAAAAACGGCAGATATTTTCAAGACTTTAAAGACTATATAAAAAAAGTCAGAGAGTAGGAAAAAGATAAAAATGGATGCTTCATTTTCATTTTGATTTCATCCGTTTACACATGAGGGTCTAACAAAAACAAAACAAAAAACTATGCTGAAAAGGGCTGTCCACATTAGTCGCCTCTTCGAATATATCGGCAACACAACTGTTTTCTCTAAATTTGACTCTATTGGATACAAATGGCTGAGAAAAAACTTTTGTTAGAGATGAAGTTGCTATTCATTTTGTTTCTCTGATATTTTAAGTAGGTGAACATTGGTTATCTTGAAATTTAAGCGAGACTGACGGAGAAAATATTGATTTTGTTTTATGAGATAGAATCGTTAAGATGATGGTAGTAACGGTGCATAGAAACATCCTTGAAGTTATCTAATCTCTGAAATGACCCGATGATAACTCCTAGCTCACACTCAATGCATTAATCACATTATCAAAATACGGGAACGCAATACAATGTAAACACGAGATGTCTACTGGAAATCCTCGACATTATTTGAAATTATGAAAAAGAAACAACTTTTGATTCATATTCTGTTGATCGAAATTTGAAAAGGGAAACAAACCTGATGGATTTTGCGGAATTTTAAGTTCCATTGAAAGAAAAAGAAAAAACAATTACAGGCGAAGTGGTGTTTGGTAGTTGTTTTTATCACGGACGCTTCTTTTCGTTGTTATCAAGCATGTACAATCAATATCAACAAAATGAATTGTCGTTGTGACGTTAATAAAGAAAATTGCACTTTTAAACGCGATGACCTTTTTTGTCTGGTATTTCTTTTTATTGTTGTTAATGGTTTTATTACTAATTGTAGTGATATCAGCACCTCGCTGTCAATGTAATAATAAAGCATGTCAAGTTTTGATATATATTAATTTGAGCCTAAGTGCAATGAGATCGTTTAGAACTCATTGTCCGATTTCTGATTTAAAGGACGCGACATTTTCTGACTTGGGCGTTTGATTTTTTCTACAAAGGGACGAAAATGAAACATAACACAACAGAAAGACTTTACTCTTGGCGTAACCAATCTTATCCCGATTCTCAGATAGTCACGGGGATCATTGTTAAGTTGAAGTCACACCACGATAGACTGACGTAACAATGTAGCAAGCAACGGTAACGCTACGGGCCGTCGAGTCAACAAAATCCTTCTTCGTTCCTGACGTAATAAATACATAGGGAGGCCTTTCATAGTTCTCTGTGTTTACATAACAAAGATTTATTGAAAGTCACGTAACCCTAAAATGGTCAGAATTTGAATTTCCTTCATTCATTTAAATCATTAAAGCGAAGGTGCGTTCCACTCCCCCTGTCATCTTGAGCGTCCTTGCTTAGGTACCGCTCGTTCATGCTCGCTCGACTGACAAGGGGCACGCGCCGAACCGCGAATGGTGTGAGACAATCTCGCCGATAGCTCAGGGAGGTGGAGCCTATACCATTGTCACACGCCTTATATAAAAGTCACTACTCTATGACATGTACCCATCCAAAATTTTCACTACGGGAGTAGTCAAACTACCAGCTCGTGACGTAAGTGACATATCAAGGCACGCGACATGCACGAGCCAGTTTCTCGATTATTGGACATGGAAACTGAGTCTAGAATGCCTGTAATGCCGATGTCCACTATAGATGGTCAAGGAATTTTTCAAACAATGACCATGGACAGACCATCTTGCATGTTTACAATTTCTCCACAGTCCTCTCCGTCTACTCCTGAAGCTAAGTTTTACAAAGTTATGAAGGAAAATGTCAGGGAAATCGTGTGTAAGAGACGACTGGACTTTAATAATCATGATACATATCTCGGACTGACCAAACCCCCTACAGTGGCCGTAGAACGTCGCAATGAGCGCGAGCGGAATAGGGTCAAGCTGATTAATATGACATTTGCAACTTTACGTGAACATATTCCAGCAGGTGGAAAAAATGGTAAAAGTAAGAAAATGAGTAAAGTGGACACTTTAAAAGCTGCCATTGACTACATCCGGTATCTCCAACAACTTGTGGATGAACACGATGCCGTTAACGCAGTGCTGGATAATAATTGTCTTCCAAAATCAGCAATACCACCGGCTTCTCCATCAGTGCATTCCCCAACCCCCAGTACTTCGTCGGAGGCATCACACGAGATCCTTAGCGCTGAGGAGGAAGAACTGCTAGACTTCACCAATTGGTTCTGAAGCTCTTCATCAGAGAACCCGGATGTTCCAGTATAATGAGCGGTAAGTTTCACTCTCTGAGTTAAAAGATTTCCCCCTCAAAACCCAAGGGTAGATTGGATTTCTACTCGTGAGATTTGTATTGTTCTCCTTAACCCCAACCCCGGGAAGGCAATTAAAATGTACCCTCAAACCTACCCCTATAGATAAGTGTACCTAGTGTGAATTATATTACCCATGGTATGGCGTTAACTGTTACTTAATACTCTTTTGCTGTCGTTGATTTATTTAACAATATTGTTATACATTTTAATCACTTATCAACCGAAACATGTTAATTTGTAATATTTACATATTTCATGTGTATTTTGAAATACCGTGACTAGTTGAAAAATATTAATTCTATCCCCCTGTAAAATTTAAAATAGTATATTCTGTATTTAAACGGACAAAACTTAACCTTGAAGCATCGTTTTGAACTTAAATAATAAAAAAACTACCTATGTATTGGTTTATTTCGTGTTACTCTTGTTTATATTCAAGAAACGTTTACATCAAAATTTAAATTAATATGATTATGGTATATTCACCTGTGATCTAGCAATATTTGATCACTTCCAATTAAGGAACACGTAAAATGTTTGCTCTCGCTGAATCCGGATCAATGCCACCCGAGAAAAAATAGCATTTAATGATGAACCGTGTTTAAATTTGTAACAACCTGTTTCAATGAATGTTAATGCGCGATTTTGTTATAGGCGTTTAACGAGATTGTAGGACGCAATTACGAATCGAACTGACACAACCTGTCATAGAAATTGTTTAAATATAAGTGTTAAACAATCTTTACGATGAAAAGATGTTATCGTGAGCTCCAAGATAGAGGCTTCTGTTGATCAATAAAGCGGACACGAGAGTGTCGGCTGAATTGATAAAACCGAGTAGGTTGACACCCCTAATCTCCTAGCGGTACTGTCGCTTGATAACCCCCGGGGAGCTATTCCTAATCCGTCTCCTCCCTAGATCTAGACGTGTTGAATGGGCAGTGCTATCTCTGTACAACAAAAAGAACTTATCTATAAAAGATAGGAAATTTTAACGATCTATAATATGGGATGTTCGTGTGTCAGTTTCACAGCAATGTAAATATATCAACACATTGATGTCAAATTTTGTTTGGTTAAGTTCGTTATTTACAGGTTATAAAACGTTACATGAATCGTTTTCAATGTGATGAATGGTTTATCAACCTATTTCAAAGGTAATAAAAGTCATGTTTAACTGGAAAAGGAACAAACTAATTAACATAAATTCTAATAAAATGTTTCCGGAATTTCACTATTGAGTGGATGGATTATTTGTTTTATAAATCGATATAATGGAGCTAGCTGATTTCCACATGTTGGGTTTTAGTAGTCGGTTAATATTATGTTATCTTTTGATATTTTTTTCAGAATAGCGTGTGTTCTACAAGGCCCCGCCCTCGGTAACGCCCCTTATCGATTCCTCCGCGCCTGATTGGTTCCAAATTTGGGACCGCCATTCAAGCTGCAAACAGTGTCGCAAGTCGGAAGACGGTGAAAGAAATTCCGGACCGGCACTGCAGGGCCGCGTCACGGCTACCCAGTATAGAAATGCAGAGAGTATCACATAGGACACACAGAGACAACGAGACGGTACACAGGTGAACACAGCTGTGCACAGATCAAGTGACTCGATCTAGCGGGCCATACTTGTTACTAAAAAGATCACGTGTGTAAATTGCCCAGTGTAACCCAGAGAGCTGGCATCATAACCAACACGAATCCAGATTTATTTATTAAAAATATGATTTAATATACTGAAAGATTTATATTTTATATACATGTACCACAGGAGCTTTACCTTGATTTTAAATAAATTAGTGCTAATTTATTTATGGTTTTTTATTCCAATAATAATGATGATGAAATGTGTCTTAGTCCAATAATACTGGTAATCATATACATGTATGCAGTTTTTACTTGTAAATAAGATTCTATTTTTGCTATAGAAATTGTATTTTTGATATGATGAAATAAATATATCAAACAGAATTCTAGAACTTTGTACTTTTTATAACTGTCGACAACTGAACCTTCTGTTATACTGATCCTTCTGTTATACTGAACCTTCTGTTATACTGATCCTTCTGTTATACTGAACATTCTGTTATACTGAACCTTCTATTAGCCTGAACCTTCTGTTATACTGAACCTTCTGTTAGCCTGAACCTTCTGTTATACTGATCCTTCTGTTATACTGATCCTTCTGTTATACTGAACATTCTGTTATACTGATCCTTCTGTTATACTGAACCTTCTGTTAGCCTGAACCTTCTGTTATACTGAACCTTCTGTTAGCCTGAACCTTCTGTTATACTGATCCTTCTGTTATACTGAACATTCTGTTATACTGATCCTTCTGTTATACTGATCCTTCTGTTATACTGAACATTCTGTTATACTGATCCTTCTGTTATACTGATCCTTCTGTAAGCCCGAACCTTATGTTATACTGAACCTTCTGTTAGCCTGAACCTTCTGTTATCCTGATCCTTCTGTTATACTGATCCTTCTGTTATACTGATCCTTCTGTTATACTGAACCTTCTGTTAGCCTGAACCTTCTGTTATACTGATCCTTCTGTTATACGGAACCTTCTGTTATACTGAACCTTCTGTTAACCTTCTGTTATACCTGATCCTTCTGTTATACTGAACCTTCTGTTAGCCTGAACCTGAACCTTCTGTTTCTGTTATACTGAACCTTCTGTTATACTGATCCTTCTGTTATACTGAACCTTCTGTTAGCCTGAACCTTCTGTTATACTGAACCTTCTGTTATACTGATCCTTCTGTTATACTGATCCTTCTGTTATACTGAACCTTCTGTTAGCCTGAACCTTCTGTTAGTCTGAACCTTCTGTTATACTGAACCTTCTGTTATACTGATCCTTCTGTTATACTGAACCTTCTGTTAGCCTGAACCTTCTGTTAGCCTGAACCTTCTGTTATACTGAACCTTCTGTTATACTGAACCTTCTGTTATACTGAACATTCCGTTAGCCTGAACCTTCTGTTAGCCTGAACCTTCTGTTATACTGATCCTTCTGTTAGCCTGAACCTTCTGTTATACTGATCCTTCTGTTATACTGATCCTTCTGTTATACTGAACCTTTTGTTATACTGAATCTTCTGTTATACTGAACCTTCTGTAAGCCCGAACCTTCTGTTATACTGAACCTTCTGTTATACTGATCCTTCTGTTATACTGAACCTTCTGTTAGCCTGAACCTTCTGTTATACTGAACCTTCTGTTAGCCTGAACCTTCTGTTATACTGATCCTTCTGTTATACTGATCCTTCTGTTAGCCTGAACCTTCTGTTATACTGATCCTTCTGTTATACTGATCCTTCTGTTATACTGAACATTCTGTTATACTGAATCTTCTGTTATACTGAACCTTCTGTAAGCCTGACCCTTCTGTTATACTGAACATTCTGTTATACTGAACCTTCTGTTAGCCTGAACCTTCTGTTATACTGAACCTTCTGTTAGCCTGAACCTTCTGTTATACTGATCCTTCTGTCATACTGATCCTTCTGTTATACTGATCCTTCTGTTATACTGAACCTTCTGTTATACTGAACCTTCTGTTATACTGAATCTTCTGTTATACTGAACCTTCTGTAAGCCTGACCCTTCTGTTATACTGAACATTCTGTTATACTGAACCTTCTGTTAGCCTGAACCTTCTGTTATACTGAACCTTCTGTTAGCCTGAACCTTCTGTTATACTAATCCTTCTGTTATACTGATCCTTCTGTTATACTGAACATTCTTCTGATCTTTCTGTTATACTGATCCTTCTGTTATACTGAACCTTCTGTTATACTGAACCTTCTGTTATACTGAACCTTCTGTTAGCCTGAACCTTCTGTTATACTGAACCTTCTGTTATACTGAACCTTCTGTTATACTACTGATCCTTCTGTTATACCCTTCTGTTTATGTTATACTGAACCTTCTGTTAGCCTGAACCTTCTGTTATCCTGATCCTTCTGTTATACTGATCCTTCTGTTATACTGATCCTTCTGTTATACTGAACCTTCTGTTAGCCTGAACCTTCTGTTATACTGATCCTTCTGTTATACTGATCCTTCTGTAAGCCCGAACCTTATGTTATACTGAACCTTCTGTTAGCCTGAACCTTCTGTTATCCTGATCCTTCTGTTATACTGATCCTTCTGTTATACTGATCCTTCTGTTATACTGAACCTTGTGTTATACTGAACCTTCTGTTATACTGAACCTTTTGTTAGCCTGAACCTTCTGTTATACTGAACCTTCTGTTAGCCTGAACCTTCTGTTAGCCTGAACCTTCTGTTATACTGATCCTTCTGTTATACTGAACCTTCTGTTATACTGAACCTTTTGTTATACTGATCCTTCTGTTATACCGAACCTTCTGTTAGCCTGAACCTTCTGTTATACTGAACCTTCTGTTAGCCTGAACCTTCTGTTATACTGATCCTTCTGTTATACTGAACCTTCTGTTAGCCTGAACCTTCTGTTATACTGATCCTTCTGTTATACTGATCCTTCTGTTATACTGAACATTCTGTTATACTGAATCTTCTGTTATACTGAACCTTCTGTAAGCCTGACCCTTCTGTTATACTGAACATTCTGTTATACTGAACCTTCTGTTAGCCTGAACCTTCTGTTATACTGAACCTTCTGTTAGCCTGAACCTTCTGTTATACTGATCCTTCTGTCATACTGATCCTTCTGTTATACTGATCCTTCTGTTATACTGAACCTTCTGTTATACTGAATCTTCTGTTATACTGAACCTTCTGTAAGCCTGACCCTTCTGTTATACTGAACATTCTGTAATACTGAACCTTCTGTTAGCCTGAACCTTCTGTTATACTGAACCTTCTGTTAGCCTGAACCTTCTGTTATACTGATCCTTCTGTTATACTGATCCTTCTGTT